TTGCTATGGTGATGTCCTTTTCAATAGGTGGTTCTGTGCTACAGAGCTATTCAGTTCTAGACCTTGAGTTCCAGGTGCCAGCTGCTCAGGGGTAGAAAGTTATGGGTGCAAATTGATGATCATAATTGGGCTGCTCATACTCATGACCTTGGCTCCACTTGCTTTGAAGAAACTTTCCTAAAATAATCCTTTTAATGATAAAACTTATACAGTAAACATGCTGAGCTTGCTTGTGGTCAGTCTTCCTCCACCAGAAGTTGGCTGTGTTAATTGCAGAGCAGGCTGAACAAATGTTAGCTGCAGGGTGGGCTGAAACCTCGCTGTTTGGTTCCTCATCGTTTGTTTGCTTCAAGTCTGAACACTCAACCCCACTCAAGGCTGAACACTTGACCCCCACCTTATGGTGCAATGGAAACCCACATCTAGCCCCTGACCAGTCTGCCTGAGGGCAGAAGATGACACCCTAGCAACTACTGTATATCCAATCACTGTACACCAACAAGGCAGCTTGCAGACCCAGAGACCCTGTTAGATTTAAGCAGCACAGCAAAAGAGATATAGGACCTTCTCCTGCTGGAACTTTCTTCTCTCGCTCTCTTCTCTCCCCCCACCTTTGTTCTGAGAAACTGATATGACTCCATTTTTGAAAACAGCTTCTACCTCAAGGCCAGTCCATAGGGAGGGGGTGTGACCCTTGTCCTTGGGAAAACCTACAGAGCACTCCTAGGCACATACCCACCCTGCTGAGTTGTTTATCTACAAATAACAGGAGAGAGCTGCTGCCCCAGGTGTCCCTGACTCGGTCAGGCTAGGTGAGGACCCATAGCAACCCCCTAGCAACCTCCAATCAGCATGAGACAGGCAAAATACTTAGGATGCCAGATGACCCCCCAGTAGTTTATGGTGGTTGATAACATGTTAGGAAACCATGTAGTTCAGCATGAACACCCCTCATGGATTAAGCCAATTAGTTCAAACGAATCGCCCTCTTGTACTAACCAATCACCCCTACCCAACTTGTTCCTGCCAGTGAATGTGCTCATCAATGTGAAGAGTTGTTGTTTGATTTTCCCACGGTGTGGAATGATTTGCTGTGTGATGTTGTGACACCTAGAGTATCCCCCAAAACCTATGAAATCTCACTGAACAAAGGACTGGGACTCACTCCCTGGGACTGCTGCGTCAGGAACGTTGTGAGTCCAGTCTCCAGCTTGCAATAAAGACTCTTGTGTGATTGCATCAGATTTGGCTCCTGGTGGTCTATTGGGGTCCCACGAATATGGCATTACAGTTCCTCCCCCTCCCCCCGGCTCATTTCTCTTTCTCCTGTCAATCAGACACTGCTGCAATAAGGATCTCTTGGTCGCTCCAAGTGCCGTGGTCACTTTCCTTTCAGGCTGGTCCACCAAGCCCCGGCTTTTTCTTCATTCATGTATCAGCCTATCTTTTCTCCCTCCCCTCATTGCCTGGTCCAGTTATCTCCCTGGAATAAACTGTCATGCAGGTCACAACAATTGCCCAGTTGGTTCTGATATATTCTTTCATCTTTGTTTATTATACTCTAAGTCTTGTTGATATAAGAGGTGTCCAATATGAAATTTTAGTGAAATCCCTCTTTTACCCACCTCACTGAGAAGCTGTACACCTGCTGCTTTGAACCCATGCCAAGGTGAAGTTTGGGATGCAGCTTTCCTCTACCATTTCCACTTCATGAGGCTTAAGAATACCGAGACTCTGTATATTCTTTAATTAAAATATTACCCCAACACCCAAAGATTGCTAATGGAAGAATTATCCCTCTGGGTGGAGATAGCTGGACTTGCCTCTTATTCTGCTAGATTCATCCACTCCTGGAGGTTGAATTTTTCAGATTTCTTCACCCTCAATCTCAAATGTTGATGAACTCACCCCATACAGAGTCCTTGGTTAACTTATTCTTATAGTTCACCTGAGACCAGATTGTAATATTTAAACAGAATTCAGCTAGGTTTAGGGATAACACTGAGGAAAGCAGCTTACTGTAGCCTTTTCAAATGCTTTAAGTCACCTCTTGGCTTAGATCCTAAAGGCCTCCCTGTGGTTAGCACTCTCCTGCACTGACCTGAAATGGCTTTCCATCAGTCTGTTTTCTTAAAAGCAAGACCCAAAAAAGCAAAACCCAGAGGAAGATGGGGTGTGTGTGATGGAGAGAAGGGAGGAATGTCTTAGTAGTCATCTTGCTAGAATGGGATGCTTCTGGGATATCTGCTGAAGCGGGGTGGGGGGGTGTTGTTAAAGTAGTTTATTTTTTCAAGAAATATTTGACTACCAACTATATGCTAGGCCTGTGGGGATACTGTGGTGAATAAGTGAAACATGGTACTTTTATATGAAATTATCAAAGAGGAATTCAGCATGATCTCATTAATGACAATATGTACATTTCTATATTTCTATCCTACTGTGTTCATGATTTCTTATTGAGTAACTCTTTCCCAGATGTGTCATTGAACAAACACTTTATATGGGGCTTGGTAAGTACCAGCACTGTTCTAAGTACTTTATATATATTAACTCATTTAAGTTTTGTAACAACCTTATAGGGTGGTTAATATTATTATTATCATCTACATTTTTACAGATGAAGAAACTGGAACATTTAGAGGTTAAGTAAGTTATCTCTGGCACCAGAATTAATGTTCTCAATCAATACTGTTAAACTCCTGACCAGAATAAGTCCATCTGATCTCTTGTCTTAAAAGGTAAGAGCTAAACTCCACAATCTTAACCTATTGCCTCAAGCATACATTATAGAACACACAGACACAAATGATTTACACACTTTGTCCTCAAGGGTCTGGCCCTGGGCAACACACACAGCAGCAGCAGTAACAACAGAAATCTGTAACTTTTCTTGGTTACTGTTTATAGTAAAGGCACAGATATAAATTAATTCAAACAGAGAAGGGGTAAAAGGATGGAGGTAGAGTACAGGTTTGGGAAAAAGTCAGTATTTGTCTAAGAAACTCCTGCAAAACAGCATAAAACTGAGCTCTGAATTGCTTGAAACAAGTAAAAAAGGAAAACATGATGAGTTACATGACTTTTTAGAATATTTTATTAGTTGTAGTTGGACACAATACCTTTATTTTTATTTGTTTTTATTTTTATATGGTGTTGAGGATGGAACCCAGCGCCTCACTCCTGCTAGGCGAGTGCTCTACCGCTGAGCCACAACCTCAACCCCCAGTTACATGATTTTCAGTGCTTGATGGGAGAAAAGATCTTCACAGTAGCAAAAGCCCTAGCTGTACCATTTTTTTTTKTTGTTGTTGTTGTTGTTGTGAGCTTTGCAGCTGCTACTGTTTCATTGTAGCATTTTGTTTTGGTAAGTTTGCTGATATGTCCCTTCTACTATCCCCCACACAATATTTCTCAGCTCTGCTATGTCACTTGGAATTGTATTTCAGTGTCCTCGCCAGCAGGACAACAATATTTATTGAATTTAGCACCTGCTCAGTGCAGAACACATATGGAAGTTAGAGGAGGAAGATTTATAGAAGACAAGATTCTTGCCTCTAAACTTACTTATAATGTAATTAGGAGGGTGAACACATTCCTCACAAAGAATCTAAACAATTGTTTTTAAAACAAACATACCAAAAATAAAAATAATCATTGGGTAATTCTGGGGTTTTGATCCTGGATTTAAATAAACAGTCTATACTGGCAGGATAGAAGGGCTTTCCATAGCCTGGTGTGAAAGTGAGAATGAGTGAATTAAGTGTTGGAAAGGGTAATGACAGTTATGTGGATACCTTTGAGGGATGGTACCCAGAAAAAACAAAGGAAGCTCTACCCTGCATTCCTTGGGGAACTCCAGCAGGAAGTGGAGAACAGATGTTTGCCTCAAATTTATCTGTGTCTGTGTGTTCTATAATGTATGCTTGAGTCTATAGGTTAAGATAGTGGAGTTTGTACTTTTTAGGGTAGGAGATAAAATTTGTACCTCATTTTATGCCACAGACATATTTTTGAAAATATAAAACAATCAAAAGTTGTGGAGCATCCACTATGCCTCATATACTGACCTAAATGCTTTAACCAACATACCTACTCTGTAAAGTGGGCATTACTATTTTCATTCTGCATATGAGGAAGTGAGTCAGCAGGAAGGTTAACAGCATAAGTGCCAGTGTCATACAGCCACTGAAGTGTGGAACCCCTGATGTAGGTCGATTTGTCTGACCACAAAGCTCAAGCTTTTGTATGCCGCACGCATTAAGATATAGTGGAACGTGAATCACGTTCTCTTTTAGAAAGCTATAGCATGCAGACTCAATGTAAGACTCCTGGAATATTGTCTGTATTTAAGTGACAACTTGAAAGGTGGCAATATAGTGTATATTTGAACTATAAATGAAAAGACTTAAGTTTTTCAGGCTCTCTCACCATTGTCCAGAGCTTATTTAAAAAAAAAAAAAAAAGTAGAAGTGGTGATTATTTGAAGAAGTCCTACAGTCATTTACTTGGCAAGTCACATTATCTACAGAAATTTCTACAAGCAGAGATGTTAAGTAAAAGGTAAGATACACACAAACACACACATTGTTGAGTGCATGATGGTGTTTATTTCATTAAACATACAGCACTTGGCCCCATTTGACATCAGAGAATGAAATCGAAAGTATCCTTAATAGTTTTTAGGTTTCTCTATTAAGCAGATAACAGTGCAAAGCATCATCCCGGACAAAACCAATTTCTCCGGGGGACAGACCAAAGTTTCTCACAAAGGCCAGGCTGTGAGACACGAAAAAGTGTAACTTTTGTCTAAACTCAGAGGTCTGTCCAAGCGCTAAAAGGAAGGCTTTCCGAGAGAGGGGAGTGCGGGTTCCACGAGGAGGTAAAGGGTGGCGGCAGGGACAGTGCGCGCTGCGCGACGCCAACCAGGTGCTTGAGGTTCTGGCGCAAGCCAGACAGGTGTGGCCGGGCTACCCGGCTGCCGGGCATCCGGGCCGCGCCGGCCTGCGCATGCGTGCGGGGCCTACGACAACAAAACCGCCTCCCCCGCGCCATCGCCCTCCACTGTTATTCAGGATCTCCGCCCCTCCTTCCTACAGCGCTCAAGGGACCATGGCCGATCCTCGCGTGAGGCAGATCAAGATCAAGACCGGCGTAGTGAAGCGGTAAGGAGCCGCGAGCGGCGCAGCCGCCTGCGCCTCCTCTTACTCGCCTCGTGGCGGCTCGAGAGGCCGGGCCCAGCGCAGGCCCGAGACCAGCGCCGGACTCCAGGCCTCAGCTGGGCTCGGCGGCGGGCGGGGACCGACAGGGACTGAGCGGGGCGCGCGGAAGCTGGAGCCCGCGGACCGCGGCATTCCCCTTTCCTTGCAGCTCCTCTGCAAAGCCGTCCGGGTAGTGGCGGGGGTCCGCCGCGGCCCCGCCCCTCGGCGCCGGGTCTGGGTGGAGGGCCGCGGCCAGGAGCGGGAGGGTGGGCTGGGCCTTGGTCCGCAACCTCTGTGCGCCGGCGCCCAGCGGCTCTCTGCTAGTGGGAAAGCGGACCCTGTCGATTTCTGGTCCTCACGTGGACTGGAAAGCAGATTCTGAAGTTTATAGGCACGCCGAAAGCCAGGGCCTCATTATAAAGAGACCGTGGCGGAGCCTTCCTAACATGGCTGGCATGACTCGCAGACTTTGAGAACTGGGGCCTGAATGGCCAGCATACCCTGCAAACTTATATGGCCTACCTGTCTCCTTTCGGCTCTCCCAGAGGTTACCCTGGAGCTTGTGGGATGCAGGTTAAGTCACTCTCATGGGTAGGGCAGTCTTGTAATTTATTCTAATCCCTACTGCTGGTAGACACTTCAGTGCACATTAAACTTTTATTGTTCAGTTTCAAGATCAAACTGATTATTCCAAAAGAAAAGATAAACAGCCTCTGTTGGAGTAGGTTATTTGATGATAGCCACCTGGTTTCTTCCTGTTGCCCCACCTTTCCTCTGTTTATTGATATTTCCATCAGATTAGGACAAGGCAGAAGAGAATAAGTTCATTTTCTAAGATATTGTCTCTCAGTTTTAGCATATCATCACACACCTGGAAACTTTCCTTATTACTAAGACAATAAGGTGATAGTGTGAACGGTTTAAATGCTTTCCCTTTTCGGAAAGGAGACTGCTTGGGTTCAGATTTTGATTCTGCCCTTTATTGTGTGCTCTGGAATATATTACTTTGCACTACGCTTCTCTTACCTCGTTTGTAAAATAGGTACCCATGTCATGCAGTGGTTGCAAGAAATGTCTGCTATACTGTTTAATTCAGTGTGTGACAAATAGCCAGTGGCTAGTAAATGTTAATGAATATACTCTATTCCTATCTTATAGATGAGAAACTGAGGTTTAATGAAGTTTTAAAAAAGAAACCAAACTTGTTCAAAGTCACACTGCAAGTTAGTAGTAAAGCAAAGAAATGAAACAAGATAACAAGATTTCTGATTACAGCTTTCTACTTTAAGCTATTATGCCTTAATGAAGAGTATTAAAATTTGTGATAATAGGAGGAAATTTGAGATGTATATATGAAAATATAAGTACTTCACACCATCACCTCACCCAGAGTTCTGCTCTTTAGACTTACTTTGGTTATGTCCTTTTAGTATATCTGGCAGAAGTACCAGGGTAATTGGAGAATTCTTTGGATTGGAAATCATGAGAAATGGCTTGTAATGGTGGTTTCCCATTAATTTCCTATATGACCTTGACATTTCTCATCCTAAAGATTTATCTATAAAAGTATTCAGTTCAAGTAGTTTATATATATATATTTTCTAAAGAAAACACATTTAGATAATGATGAATTCTCAAGGACTTATATAAACTGTTTGGAAACAATTTTCTTTTCAGTTTATTTTCAATAATAGAACATTATCAAACTTTACTTTTGGCATACTTTGTACTTCAATAAATTTATCATTTTTTGTGAAACCCTTTCATAATTTGCCATAATCTCAAATTGCTTATAAATTAATGGAAATGTCTGTCATACATTTATTTCATGTTTTTTCTGTTGACATTTTGATGTAGTCCCTTATGTACTATAAAATGTGATGAATTTTTTTTCTAAACATAAAATTTCTGTTTTAGTTCTATGTTACTCATTTTGCCACTTAGATGGTTAGATCAGAACAATTTGAATCCTTAAATATTATTACTCTTATTTTTCTCCTGAAAATTATTTTACTATGGCTTTTTCCATCTTCTGCCTTAGCATCCTGTTTTTAAAAACCTACATTTTATATCACTGGAGAAAAAAAAATAGATGAGGCAGATTTGACAATTTACTAATAATTCTTGGGACTTCTTTATATTCTTCAGTACATATTCTTAATATTTTCCATAATAAAAGGTGTTTTGAAAGTATGCTTTCCGCCCTTCCTCCAAATCTAGTTTCAAAGGCCTTTTGATATTAGTTTCACAATTCAGATATGTTCTTACCAAAGTGATTCTGCTCTTTAGTTTTTAAAGCAATGTTCTAAAAACTAGTTTTTGTTCTCAATACCCTTTTTTTGCTTAACTATTCCTTTACTGTGGTCTCATTTCTCTTCAGAAGTTACAACTTTTATTTGTTAGAAGAAATTTGAAGTCATCAGTTATATCCCCTAGTTCCTTTAGTTTTATCTTCAGAAGTTGAGAGCCACTGGAAATTAAAATTTAGAGGGCTGGGAATGTAGTGCAGTGTTAGAATGCTTACCTTGCATGTGTGAGGGGTTAGGTTCAATCCCTAGGACAGCCAAAAAGAGAAAGAAAGTGGGAAAAAATCAAGTATTGTGCTAGAGTTCAGTTGAGTAGGTCATAGGAGAAAGAGTTGGTTCTTAGAGTTTAGTGTCTAACCCAGTCTGTTAGAACAGGACAGGTGGGTTGAGTGTAAGGAGATAACCCAATGAATGAATGAATGAATGAATGAATGAATAAGATAGTGGTGGTGGCGGCGGTGGTGGTGGTGGCGGTGGTGGTGGTGTTTGCCATCAAGGAGATAGAAAGATGAGTAATAGAGTCCATGTTAGAAAGGAAAGTAGAAATAGTATTTTAGGTAGAAGTTAGAAAAATTGGTTGAAGCCTCACAGTGCCCTGGTCCTCGAGAAATTTTGTTACCTTTTACAGTAAAAAGGCAAAGGATCTGATCTCTGGAAATGGGTTTCAAGACAGAGATTAGGTCACTAGTAATAAGGAAAAAGTCTCATTTTCTTATGAGTGACTTATGAGAGGAGAGTTGAACAGCAATGAGACTGGCCTGATGCTGAGTGTCTGGCCCACAGAGCTCCTTAAGTATTCTCCCAGCAGGAGGATTCTTTTTTTGAGGGCTAATTCTGACTGCAAAATCAGAGATATGTGCACCATAGTCCCAATGGAGAATTATACAAAGTTTCTTTGAGCAGTAACTGTTGTTAACATATAACTCATGGGTACAAATTGAGCATCCCTAATTGAAAATTTTGAAATTCTCTGAAATCCAAAACATTTTGAGTGCCAACATGACACTCAAAAAGTGTTGGATTTTGGAGCATTTTTTTGGTTTCTGGGTTAGGAAAGCTCAACTGGTAAAGTCTGTGGAAATATTCCAAAAATCTGAAAAAACTCTAAAATCTGAAACTTGATTTTTTGTTTTTAATAATATCTAGGTGACATCAGTTGTCCTAATTTTCTTGGAACTGAGGGCGTTTTTCCAAGATGTGAAACATTAAGTTATAAAGTTGGAAAAGTCCCAGGCAAACCAGGATGATTGTCTACTTCTTTTGTAACTAGCTCACATGGTTCTGTTTTTTGGGTGCTTTGATTTGTATGGAGGCTATTTGTTGGTAGTACAACTGTGAGTTGTGCATTGGGCCATACTTAAAATTTAAATGTAGCTGGGTGCACATGTCTGTAATTCCAGCAACTTGGGAGACTGAGGCAGGAGGATCAAAAGTTCAAGGCAGCCTCAGTAASTTAGCGAGAACTGTCTCAAAATTTAAAAGGGGGCTGAGGATGTGGCTCAGCTGGTAAGCACCCCTGGGTTCAGTCCCTGGTATCAATCAATCAATCAAAAACTGAAAAACTTTAAATGTATGGTATAAATATGAATTATCACCAGAATAGCCTTTTCTGTAGTAATGATTTAGAAAGTAATGTCACTGAAGTGGAAGAAAATAAGGAATTGACGTTTCCTATGTGTTGTTTTAAGCCAAAAAAGAATTGATGTTTTCTAAATGTTGATGTGGTATTATAGCTAAATGACTTATGTTCACCATAGGTTTCCAAGTAGGATTTGTGTTTGTGAAAGAAGTTTAGTTTGTTATTAGCTTGTGGTAAATTCAAGAAATTCTTCTGCAAGGGGGGAAAAAAAACCTGCTTTCATCCATTTAACATAAATGGTTGCTTAATAACTTTTTATAAAAGCTAACTTACTCTGAATAAAGCCTGCTCGTACTAGCCCACTACAGGATGAATTGATTAAAAATACTTTCTTATATATATCTTTTTATAGCTATTTTATATTGGTAATGGTTTAAAATCCAATGTGAACAAAGAATGTTAGGGCATTGGAAATAGCATTGACATTGGCCCATAGTTTTCCTCTGATTAAATGAAAGTGACACCAGTAGATTAGAGTGAGACTAGGACAATTCACACTGCAATTGTGTTAGTTTAACTTTAACAATCTTTTAACACTCTTGTTTAAATGTAGCTGACATACCATAATTACAAATCTACAAGCCTTGATTATAGAATTTTACATCTTGAACCTGTGGGGAAATTGTATTGATTTTTTTTTTTTTTTTAATAAAGCAAGCCCTGTTCCCAAACTGTGGCATCTTCCCAAGTTTGTTTATACCTACACTTCTGGTATAGAACTGTATATTGCTTATACACACAAACATACACGCACGTACATACACACTACACTGTAGGAGGAATTAAAATCAACATAAAAGATATATAATATCTCCAATATTAATTCAGTATGTATTATACTGACACATAAAGTGAAAAATGTAAATGACACCTATACTAGGTAAACCTAAATTTATTTCCCCTTAGCTTTAGCTGTTTATTTACTTCCTGTATTTAAAGTAGTGATGGATAGGGCGCAGTGGTGCAGACCTGTAACTTCAGAATTCAAGAGACTGAGGCAGGAGATTCACAAGTTATAG